TTGAATTTTTTTAAGGATTATTAAATAATCATAACAAAATTCATACATGCATACATATATATATTATATTATTCTTTTTATATATATATATATATATATATATATATATTATTCTTTTTGTAGATAATCTTAGAAAAATATTGAAAGATATAACGAAAAACAAATATTTAAAATAATTAATGAATTAACTTTCAAATTAATGAAAACTTTCAAACGTATTAGAAATAATTTCGATAATATCAACAAAAATTTTTTTCTTATTTCTATTTAATCGAATAATTAATTATAAATTCATTTCTATATTATACTTTTTTTCTTTTTTTTTCTTTATAAATAAATTCATAGTTATCAATATGTTATAATTTCAAATCAAATAGAAAATCATTTCTCGTTTATTCACATAGGAATTAGTAATCGACGACATAGCACGTGGGACCAATGTGCCCGAGTATCGGAATCGATCGAGCTGTGTGTATCTACCGCGTACGGTATGCAAATAATCTAGAAATTGAATACGCGTATTTCTGGCGTGCAAAGATAACGCTACAAAAGCGGAAACTTTTGTCTGGCGAGTTTATCAGAGAAATAAAAAGAGAAAAATAAAGAGAGAGAGAGAGAGAGAAAAAGATCTACATATTTTCCTCCCTCTTTTATTTTTCTCTTCATTTTTAGGTCATGTACACGTAACGATATATATATATATATATATATACATATACATATTTATACATATATGTATATATATATATATATTACACACGTACATATGTATATATATATACACATACACACACACGCGTGTGTATACGTTCTATATACAATTGTATAACGTTTAAACGAGAAAACTATAAAAGAAAAAATTTCTCTTTCGTCGCAACGTAAAATCGAAGGAAAATTTAAAACGATTCGGTCGTTTTAATAAACGTAGAAACACGGAAAAACTGTCGGTAGAAGCTTGTCACGAAAAGAAGAAAAAAGGAAAGAAAACAAGATAGACAGACGGACGGACAGACAGACAGACAGACAGACAGAGAGAAAGAGACAAAGAGAAAGAGACAGAGAGAGAGAGAGAGAGAGAGAGGGATGAAGGAAAAGAAATGAAAAAAAAAATGGGAAAAAAAAGGAAAAGAAAAATACGGGAGAAACCGGAGCAAAATAGAAAAGCTTATGAAAAATAAAGTAATACGGAAACTGAGAAAGACAGATAGCAAGAAAAAAGGAAGGAGGAAAAGAGAAAGAAAAAAGAAGAAGGAGAAAAATAAAGAAAAAGGAAAAAAGAATATGTATATAGATATAAACATTTATACATCGTGGAAAGAAGGTGTCTTGCGACGGAATAGAAAATAATAATCTCTAAGTCCTTTGAACGAAGTCGTAGCGAACATACGTTAGTATCGAATTATTCTATCGATCGATTTGCAAAGCTATAAGGAAAAATCCGATAAGCTACTTATAAACGGAAATATTGAAGAATCCAAAAGATGATAGAATTTTTATTTTCTTTCTTTCTTTTTCCTCTTTCCTTTCTCCTTTTTTTCTTACTTTTTCTTCTTTAAAATCTTTAAAATAACGTAAATGCACGTTGATTACAGTTCTTTAATCAAATTCTTCAAATTGCAATATTATTTAAGAACAAATGGAAAATATTTTAAGAATACATTTTCTCGTATAATCTCGATACGTAACAAAAAAAAAAAGAAAAAAAAAAAAAAAAGGAAAAAAGAAAAAAAGAAAAAAACCAAAAAGATTAGAACAATTGGTAATCGTAAAATGTTCATCGAGACATTGATACTAAAATATAGAAATTCAAGCGATGATATGTAAATTTTCCATATAACAAATAATAATTAAAAATATACAATGGCAGAATACAATAGTAAGAAAAATAATAATAATAATAGAAAAAGAATATTTACAAAAATTTTTTATACATATAAATAAAAAAAAAAAAAAAAGAAAAATATATATCTATATATACTTAACGATGATTTGCAATTGGAGATATTTATGTCGAATAAAAAAAAAAAAATAAAGAAATTCAAATAATTTAAAAATTTTCTACGATAGATAATAATGAAAATTATAACTTTACGTTGAACGATATAATAGAAATAATAGATAGAAAATAATATAAAATAAATAGATAGGAGATACTTGGATGAATTTGTATTACGTAAAAAAATAAAAAAAGAAAAAAAAAAAAAAAAAGAAGTGAAAAATAATTAAAAAAAAAAAAAAAAAAGGAAGAAACAATGTATTTTGTAATAAAATGTATTTTGTAAAGAAATTGTAAATTGAAAATATTCATTTCTAATGTTAATATTAAAATATTCAAATGGCCTAAATACTCTCCAATTACTATTGTTTGTTGTTAACAAACACACTTTCTCTCTCTCTCTCTCTCTCTCTCTCTTTCTCTTTGTCCTTCTTACACATATATGCACATACATGGTATCTATTTCCTGATAATTACTGGGGTAAATTTGTAATACGTGATACAGACGTGACACCTGGGCATCGCGTACACGTCGTCCTAGCAACATTCTGGTTTGTCAAATGGCAAGAGAATTTGTGGGAGAACGAAGCCGTTGGAACCACGAAACAGGAACAGGATTGGACACATCCGAAACTGTGGTTACACAGCTGTGTGATAAAGTAATCGCTTTTTGTTAGAACGAAACCAAACGAGACGATATAAAACCTTATAGCGTTTACGTTTGGTATTGTAAGAAAGAAAAACAGTGTCTCATGGCAAATAAATCCCTCCCCATGTCCATCCCCCTCCATTCATCCTCCATTAACCCCCGTTACTCATCCCACCCATCCATACCATACTCACTTTTTTTTCTAATTTCCTATTTTACATATCTTATTCTGGTTATCTCTGTTATAAAACAATATATATATATATATATACATATATATATTTTTTTTTCGTTTATTTGAAAAAGAATTTATATAACCTGAAATTTATAATCCGTAACTACGATTATATTGTAATTTATTATTGTTGTATTATATGATAAAAATATATTTGTTATTGTCATTATATTGACGTTAAAAATTAATTGTTTAAGATAAACGATTGATTTTATGAAGAAAGAAAGAATCCTTACGTACATATTTATATACACGAGGTGTTATATTTTAATATATATTATACGTAATACGAAAGTGTTGTAAGGGTTCCATTTAAAGAAAGAATAAAAAAAAAAAAGAAAAAGAAATAGAATAACTCGATCTCGAAATCTATTTCATTAATATATTCACCCGAAGGAATAATGATTTAATAACAAAATAATGCGTCTGTTTAAAACGAATGGTCGAATGGAACGTAGATACAAAAAAAAAAAAGAAAAAAAGAATAATAATATCTTTATAATTAACATATTTCTTAATGAAATTTCGGCAAAACTTTTTACAATATACGTATAAACTAAAATTACATCTCTATAAGTGACATATGCAAATATATACGTTAACGACAATTTCAACGATCGTAATATGAATTACTTAAGAATATTATGAAAAGGAAAAAAATTAAAAAAAAAAAAAAAGAAAGAAGAAAAAAAAACGAAAAAAAAGACATGAAAAATCATTCCAAAAAATGTTATCCAAAAAAATTATCTAATATCTGTTAAAAATCTAATGCGCAGTTTGATCAAAATCGTAACTTACAAACGGTTCAACATTAACATTTGACAAATTTACGTTTGGCTTTATTTTAAGATTAAAATTCGACAAAAAAAAAAAAAGAAAGAATAATATCTTTATAATTAACATAGTTTTTAATGAAATTTCGGCAAAACTTTTTACAATATACGTATAAACTAAAATTACATATCTATAAGTGACATATGCAAATATATACGTTAACGACAATTTCAACGATCGTAATATGAATTACTTAAGAATATTATGAAAAGGAAAAAAATTAAAAAAAAAAAAAAAAAAAGAAGAAAAAAAAATGAAAAAAAAGACATGAAAAATCATTCCAAAAAATGTTATCCAAAAAAATTATCTAATATCTGTTAAAAATCTAATGCGCAGTTTGATCAAAATCGTAACTTACAAACGGTTCAACATTAACATTTGACAAATTTACGTTTGGTTTTATTTTAAGATTAAAATTAGACTAAATTTACGACTTCTAGCACCATCAGCCGTGCTAATATTCGGCAAAGATAACGCGTCACTTTACAACATTTCAAAAGCTTCTTCGTCGTAACTCGATCGCTTATCGCACATTCGAACGGATTTTCTCTCTCTCTCTCTCTCTCTCTCTGACTTTCTCTCTCACACACATACAATCAGCAAGGTGCCGAAGTTTCCGTGTAACATTCAACGAGAAAACGCACATAGGGATTAATACGTGTTCGATCGTAATGTTTGTCCTCATCTGCATTTGCATTCCGAATTCTCTCTCTCTCTCTCTCTCTCTCTCTCTCTCTTCTGTTTCCCTCTTTCTCTCTCTCTTTTACTCTTTCTCTCTTTCTCTTTCTGTCTCTGCAGATTCGATAACGGTTTAATTCGAGCAAACAGGATAACTATAGTAGGATTTAGTAGCATGATAAAACAAATGCGTATGTATATATTATCGATGAGTATATACATTCACTTCTACAAACCTTCCATCATATCATTTATCGATCAATATTCATGCGAATAAATCTATCATTATCGATCGTAAAGAGTGAAAGAAAAAAAAGAAATGTGAAAAAGGTCAAAGACGAAAGAGAACAGAAAAAAAAGAAGAAGAAGTACAAAGATAGAAAGAAAAGGAGAAGACGTTAAAGGGGGAGGCGGGTGGTGGCCGCGCTTAATATATTGACGTAATTAAAAAAGAAAAAAGAAAAAAAATAATAATAAAAATAAACTAAGAACGACAAGATCGAAATTATCTTTCATTTCATATTCTCTATCATCGTTGTTATTATTATTATTATTATTATTATTATATTATATTATATTATATTATATTATATTAATCGTCATAGTAATTAAATTTTTAATTCGTTTTATTATAAGTCTTGATATTCAATAATATTCTTGTGACATATTTCATGTTATTCAATAACTTATGTAAAGGACATTTGTTACGACTATACCAATTTGATAATTTAGAATACGTATTTATCTTTCTTTCGGTATGAAGAAACTTGCAGAGACTGCAGGCAACATTATTTGTAGAATCTTCTATGCGATAATGTTTCTTCCATCGAAAATATTCTCGATATTCTTTTGGATTCGTTATAAGTCGTTTTAAATATATTGCTAATGTTTTTGGACTGTCGAAGTTTAATGCGTCGATGTAAGAATCTTTTGGTACGAATCGACTATAATTGGCTCCTCCGTAAACGATCGGCAATACATTGTATCTGTAAAATAAGAGATAAAAAGAAAGAGACAGAAATATATATATATATATATATATATATACATATAAAGAGAAAAAGAAAGAGAGAAAGAGAAAGAATGACAGGTTAAAGAGTGAATGCAAATCGATGTAAAGAAATGATAACAAGAGTTTTAAAGCAATGTAATTAACAGTCTTATTGTTCTTTTCTCTCTCTTTTCCTCTCTCTCTCTCTCTCTCTATTTTTTTTTATACATTAAATCCATTACCAAAATTATAAATTAAGTTATAATAAGGAAAATACGATATCGATAAAAAAAAAATAAAAAGGGAAAAATAATAAATAAATTTAAATAACAATTAATTATTATTTGTCTATATGTCTTGGCTAATTAATTTTATTATTTGTACAATGAAGAAGAAAGAAAAAAGAAAAAGGAGGAAAAAAAAAAGAAAAAAGAATAAGATTTTCAATGATTCCGTTACGTTACCTCAATGGTTTGTAAAGTTTCTCCGTGACGTAATCCTTACACAATGAATTTTCAAAGGAGAGATAAAAATAATATTGTGGCTCAATTATATCTTTAAAACAATTACGTGAATGTGGACAAGTTTGATCATCGCCGCATAGTCCATAAATATCCACGTTAATGTACTTTGATAATTCTTTAACGTACTCCAAACGCCCACTTTTGGCTGGACAATTACTTACCAACCAAGCTATCTCCTTTTTTTTATTTGCAATTGTTGTGTCTACGATAAAAAAGGAAAAAAAGAAAAAAAAAGAATGAAAAAAATTAAATGAAATTCCATTAAAGAATTAGATAAATCATCGAGATGAATAGATTTGTGTTTAAGTTTAATAAGCATGATATATATATATATATATATATATATATATATATATATATATATAATTACTACATATATAATATTACTATTTCATAAAAAAATTTTTGATTTGTTATTAATAATTCTTTTTTCTTTTTTTTTTTTTTAATATTAACAACTGCGGATACGTACACCCGAATAATAACTTTTGATGATATATATTTCATACGAGATTTTATTAATCGACAATACAATCGAAATAATATTTATATTGGCGAACTCGATATGTTTATATCTCGAAAAGGAAATGATTTTTTTTTTTTTTATTAATTTGTTCATAATCAATGCATTTATCATTTTATTTAGAGATCTCCTTTGAGTAAATAGTAATTTCATTAATTTTTAATCAAAATCAAACATATTTTGTGTAATCAAATAAATAAATATTCATACGGTTTGAGATATACCTTGAAATTTTTTATGGTATATTAAAAAAGAAAAAAAACATATTTATATATATATGTATATATATATATATATATGTGTGTATATAATATAATAGTATATAAAATTTAAATACCTTTTAAGTGATATACAGAAGACAATTTGTTACTCTTATCATCGTTATTAGGAAAATCCCAAACGATATCAATAGAAGGTGCAACAATCTTATTGGTTTTTAAGTCACGAACAAAACCGTAAGGCCAAACAATATCACTATCCAATCGATAAGTCATAGTATCGTTAAAATAATTCTCAAATAAGCCATTTGTGATTGGTCGATTCTCTGGACTTTCCAAATTAACGAAAACGTAACGTTGCTTAATATTTCTTTTCTTGGGCAAATCATTTTCATTCAATTCGACACCATGAAATAATATTGCATCGAAATTTTCCACATCAGTGAAAGATCTATCGTAAGTGGCATAACACTCGTTAAATTGGCAATTTTTGAAGATATCATCGTCACCGAAATAAAAGTTTTTATCGCCAAACATTCCATTCCAAAAGAGGATCTTCTTGAACATCTTATGATCTCTCAATCGTTGCACATACATATTATGATCGATCATTTGATTTGACTTGAAATTTAGAAGGTTCTTAAATCTCAAATCGAAATAAAACGATAATATATAAAGACAACAAATGGAAATGAAAAGTACTATTAAACCAAACTTGCCGCAAAACAATGACATCTCGCTCGATTATTAATATTTTCCTTTTTGAAGGTTTTTTTTTTTTTTTTTTTTTTTTTTATTACGACGTAAGAATCGTTTTTTTTTTTTCTTCTATTTCTTCTTCGTTTTTAATAAATATTTTCGATACATTCGTGAGATGATCGATGACGAATATTGAGCTTTCCATATAATCCAGAAGTAATGACCAATATATTTTTTATAACCCGTACGATTAATTATCTTTCTTCCTTTCAATAATTTTTATTTCTTCAATATATCACACTCACACACACACATACAAACACATATATATAAATAAATATATATATATATATATATATATTATATCGATATTATCAAAATATGGAGAATATATGTTAATCTGTTTTATCTTATCACTTATCACTTATATATAAGCAATATTATCTTATCACTTATTTTTAAAGTTATAGAGGTTAATGGCTCGATGAAAACATTTCAGATACTTTTTTCTCTTCGAGTATATTCTTGGGTCTTCATCAAGATCGAAATTAATTCGACTTTTGCACTTGTTTCTGATAAAAAATATGACTTCATGATTTCGATTAACCATAAACTGTATCGTACAATATATACGTATGTTCTATGTATATATATATATATACAAATGGTACAATTAGATTAAATGAAAGTTACAATCATTGAAATATAGACAAATAATATAATCATATTCATAAACAAAATTTTTTAAATGATAACACAAATCGATTTCGTTTATAACTCTATCATATTGGATTTCTTTGGGAATGTTTAGTTTGAATGTTTAAAACATTCAAGAAATTTGACACTATTTACAAAAGTGTCAAAAAATAAATAGAACAATTGGCCAATCTGTAAAATTAATTGTTTGTTAAATGTGAATTGAAAAATTAACAGAATTTACGAATATCAAATAATAGGGCCTTACCTTCATACTAAAAAAAAAAAAGAAAAAAAAAAAAGATTTAAGAAATTTTTATCACACAATTTTTTTTTAAGAAAGTACTTAATATTCAAACTTTATATATATATATATATATATATATATATATATATATATATATATTTATATATATATAAATTGTAATAATCTATAATTATTTTTAAGATAATTATTTTTAAGATAATTATTTTTCTATGTTATTTCCCCATTATCAAGCCAGAAAATTTATCAATAGCAAAAGCAGCTTTATGAATATGAATAAAAAAAAAAAAAAAAAAAAAAAACAACAAAGTAATTCGTCGTATAAAGTAGATAATAAAAAACAAGCTCGGTCGGTTGATATTCAGTCTTGTTTTACATACATTTCGTGCGAAAATAACTTTCTAATGATAAAGCACATAAAGAGAGAGAGAAAGAGAGAGAGAAAGAGAGAGAGAAAGAGAGAGAGAGAAAGAGAAATAAATATAAAAGGGAAAAAGAAAAAGAAATAAATATAAAAAGAAAAAAGAGAGAGGAAGAGAGAGAGAGAGAGAGAGAGAGAAAGAGAGAGAAAGAGAGAAAAGGAGAGATATATAATAAAAGTACGATATAGATAACATTTATCTAGATACATGCATACAATCGGCTATTTAATAGCGTATTATTAAAAAAAAATATTATTGAAATATCATGCAAAATGTAATACGATGTAGCTGATTAGAAATTACCATTTCAAAGCTCGATCGTTTAATATCGAGCAAATACGATCAGCGAGAGAATTTTCGTCGGGTAGGATTTATATCGTAATCGGATAAAAGAGAGAGAGAGAGCGCGCGAGAGAGAGAGAGAGAGAGAGAGAAGGGTGGAAGGAGGGAGAAAGGGAGAAAGAGAAGGAGGAGAGATAGAGAGAGAGAGAGAGAGAGAGAGAGAAAGAGAGGGAGGAAACGGGAAGAGAGTGATTACGTTAATTAATTAAGCCTTTCGTGAGATAATTAAAACGAAGAGTGATCCAATCGCGAGAAATTTTGCGATCAACGATGAAACGATGCGTGGGAAGGACTCTCTCAGGTTTCATCGATAAAACTATGAAAATCGCTTGTTAATGATTTTCTACTTCAATTACATATATATATATATGTATATGATTTTAATAACATGCATATCTACATATTCGATATATCGAAAGATAATGATTGTCGTTAGAAAGAGAGAATTGGGAAATGTTTACATTTAAATAAAAAAAAAAAAGGAAAATAAAGAGAGAAAAGAAAGAAAGAAAGAAAGAAAGGAAAAAAAAAGAAAAGAAGAAAGAATCCAAAAGAAAAGAGAATAGAAATTAAACGCCGATCAATAACGAATAATAATCTTCAAATTTTCCTATACATTATGTACCTTAAGCTTTTGCAATATCCTTTCTTCCTTCGATCATGATATATTTAAAATGGAACAAACACAGACATGTACGATAAAAGATTATATACAGGAATATACAAAGAATATATACAGGATGGCACCAACGCGAACGAATATATAATGTTCGAGAAGATTTATTCTATTTTCCTTTTTTTTCTTTTTTTTTTTCTTTCTTTCTTTCTTTTTTATCATTAATTAATTTTGATTCTGATTAATATATTTTTTTTTTCTTTCCGTTCGTCAAAAAAAAAAAAAAAAAAAAAAAGAAAAAGAAACAGAAGCAGAAAAACTTTAATCGTTATTTACAAATGAAAGAAAAGAAAGGAAGGAAGGAGGAAAGGAAATAAGCATTGTTTGACAAAAAAAAAAAAAAAAAAAAAAAGAAAAAAGAAAAAAAAAAGAAAGAAAAAAGAAAAACAGAAGAAAATCAAGAGTTTTTAAATCGCTAACAAACTTTTGTACCAGCCTGTATAATAATAACGTAACAGCATGACACAACACGATGACGTCACACAATGATGAATCTTTTAGTTGAAATATCCATTTTGTTAGAATAGAGATCTCTATAATAATCGTTTATATCGATCGATAGCTATCATCATATTATTTTCTTTTCACGTTCGGATTTCGTTGATCGACCATGAGAAAACCTTTCTAGTCGAGTTCATCGGCACATTTAACAACTAGCGGCCTTTCACTAATTATGAGTAACACTTTAAACACGATAAACACCAATATAAAACTTCTACGATGTCTTTTCTCAAATAAAACTTTTCTCTACACTATCTATTATCGATGTTAATTTATATAATATAAACGTTACCATCAATTCGTTGTTATTCACTGAACATTAATTATTAACATTAATTGTCTTTTCTCGTTAGAAATCAATGATACCGGCTTTTAATATGAACGTGTATTGATTACGAAAAGAAAATAAAAAGAAAAAAAAAAAAAAGAAAAATGCACGTTAATTAATTCTTTCGAGCTATCAAGGTCTTTTTATTTTTTTTATCTTTTCTCTCTCTTTCTCTCTCTCTCTCTCTCTCTCTCTCTCTCTTTATTCCTCTTTCTCAGGACACCCCCATCCCCATCCCCACTCCCTCTCCTTTTAACTTTCTCTTGTGAAACCTTTGGGATATTTATCGTATATAAAAAATGGAAGTAACGAAAATAGAGAAAAAAAAAAAAAGAAAAAAATTGATATACAAAAAGAAAAGAAAAGAAGTAAGAAATATGCGAATAGAAACGAAATAAAAACTGAACCGGTTATCGACAGCTTGTCGACGCAAAAGTCGCGTCACGACTGTAGCTAAACGTAGACTTCGTCGTTAAAATTACCTAGCTCGACCTGAAACTAAGTAAGCCGATCCTCTCGATTGTCGTTTGACTCAACGTAACGCTTTGTGAACCGATAGAAGACTATCATCGTTGACCAATGAAAATCGTACGTGACGGAAACGCGCACGAAATCTACTATTGATATGTAACCAAGGTTATAACATGATAAATATTTAAAAGTTTCTATCAATGTTCGTATGTAAATACTTCTTTCTTTCTTTTTTCTTTTATTTTTTTCTTTGTCCCATTTATTACAATAGTACGTCGAAATTCATTGTATTTATATAATATTATTCGCTCTTATTAGAATAAAATTTTAAAAAGAACGAAGAAATTTCTAAATTTATTCCTTCTTAAAGGTATTACCATTTTCTTTTTCTTTCTTTTTTTTTTTCTTTTTTTTTCTTTCTTTCTTTCTTTCTACTTTGTTTTCCCTTTTTCATTTATAAATATATCACTTTATAAAAATACAATTTTCCTTTAATTCTAACTTTAAAATATCATATATGTATTATGATATATCCAAAATGAAATGAAAGTTAAATGTAGATATACACACACACACACACACACGCGCGCGCGCGCGCGTATATATTTATATTTATATTTATAATATTAATTTTAATAATATTTATGAAAGTATTTGATAATAATTATTATAAAAAAATTATCATTATATTATAACCGTATAGATAATAATAATATGTTGGTAACATGAATTAAATTATAATTATCGATCGATTCTGATTTCTGATAAAGATTACGACGTACGCCGTTAGACTAAAAGCAAGAAGCCCCACTTTTCCATAATCGATTGTGTGCGCAATCGTAATTTCTGATCGAGAATTGAATTCAATAATACGAGTCGCTTAGGTTCATTCTGCCTTATCGATTATTCCATTTTCAAAATTAAAAGTCCCCGTTCTTTGATACGAAGACGTTTAATATGATCGAAAGAAATATATTCGCTTAATTTTAATTTAATATTCGATCTATTATTATTTTTTTTTCTTTTTCTTTCTTTTTTTCTTTTTTTTTCTTTCGTTTTCTTTCGTCGCACGTATATAACGTAACATTCGTAATAATGAAAATTTCTAATCGGATATAATCTTTATAAAAGTTTTTAGCTAATAAATATAAGTAGATAATATCTCTTTCGTCATCATATGGATAACTCTTCATCCCTCAACCCCATAAAAGATATATGTCTCGTTGTCTCGTTTCCTTCCCCATAGATAAGATATTGTATAAAGATCGATTCTATGGGTCACGTACCGATCCTCTTCATTTATTTCTCGATCGTGTTATTGAAGATAACGTAATCGATTATCAAGGACCCCGTTTCCTTTCTATCGATTGTTCATTTATTTCCGTAACATTGTTAAAGGGACACGTTCATGATAGTACGTCACCTGTGGCAATGGTTCAAACACATTTCGGTGTTTCCACCCCCCCTCTTCCACCCTCTGTTCATGGTGCTTTCAGTTTTATTCAGTTTCAACGGTGATATTATCACTTTTCCTTTGGTTTTATATCTCATGGATCGATAATTCACTCGTCTATCTTTATTAAAACATAATTTGATATAAAAAAAAAAAAAAAAAAAAAAAAAAAAAAAAAAAAAATGTAAACTTTAAGGAACTATTTCTCATAGAAAATCTCTAACACGTATGTGATACATAAACGGCATACAAACGATACTTGACCGTGTCTTATTTTTATCTCATATTTGCGATAATCCATTGTCACTGATTAGATATTTTTATCAGTCAAAAATTCTATTCTCTTGAACGTTCAAGCCTCAAACTCAGAGAAACAAATTTTTTCATTTATTATTGAATAATTTTTTCATTTATTATGTGAAAAATCTAACTATTTATTAACATCGATATTGACAAATAAGATCGTAGATTTTGCTCGAATATATACATACATAAGTATGTAATAATCTCGATAATAAGTATTAGCATTGTCTCAATTGAATCCTGTGACATAGATTACATCCTGATATAACGAAATGTAAAGCGTGTTTTAGATTAATTAAATTATATGAAAAAATTTTCATTGAATTAAAAAATAACAAGAAACTCTATCAGAGATATTAATCATTGTAATTTTTTTTATACCTTTACATAAATCACGAATAATTATTATTAAACCAATATGATTATCATTCATTGAAAATGATTCATTGAAGTACGAGTAATTACTTTGTTAATTTAATTTTTTTTTCTTCTCTATTATTTTACTCTTTTTTCTTTTGTCTTTTTTCTTTTTTCAAAATCTCACAAGTGCCCATTTTGTCCATTGTTCGAGTTATACGTACGTACGTTCTTTTTGTTTTTTTTTTTTTTTAATTACGTTGATGCATTTTTTCTCCCCCCTCAAAAAAAAAAAGAAAAAAAAAGGTAAAAAAGAATATACTCATTGTTTCCAAGTAATGTTATTTAACTAATACATATATCGCAAAATTTTCCAAAATTTTGATAGAAAGAGATAAAAAAGAAAAAGGATTTTTTTATGGGATTATATCGGTTAAGAAGGAAGAAAGATCTATACAATAAAATAAATTTTCATTTGCAAAATAAAATCTAAGTCATATCTAAAATACTGAGCTTCATAAGTATCATAAAACATAAGAAGGAAAAAAAAAGGAGAACGTTTACAAGGTACACACATACACATATTTATGTATGCGTATATATAATAACTTTATACAGATATATGTATAAAGTTATAAAAAAAAAAAAAAAAAAAAAAAAGAAAAGGTACAAATTTTCTTCTATGAGATCTAAGATTAATCGAAAGAAAAAAATTTTAATTACTATTTATTATATAATAATATATTAATAATGTAATTATTTTAGATTTCTTCTTTTATATTTCATCATTTAAACAAAAAAATTGGAAATTTTTAACCATTAAATTGTTAATGTAAATTAATTGTAAATGTTACTTACAATTTCAAATAAATATAGTTTCAAATAATATTTCAGATAAAAATTTCAAATAATTTCTTTTTTTTTTTTAATAACGTTTTATTCTTTTACTTTTATATATATATATATATATGTGTGTGTGTGTGTGTGTGTGTGTGTGTGTGTGTTTAAATTTAAAAGACTTCCAGACTTAGTATTATTTAAAAGATTTCAAATAAATATATTTTCAAGTAAAGTTTCAAATAAAAATTTCAAATAATTTTTTTGTTTTTTTACTTGTATATATACATATATATATATATATATATATATATATATATATATATATATATATATATCTGTATTTAAATCTAAAAGACTTTCATCTTATTATCGAAACTCTGTTTTCAACGATAAGCACGATGACATTTCCTAGCCGCGAACTCGTCGTAATTTCAGTCTCGGCGAAAGGCCGAAAGTTTCGTCGTTAATTCTCGTCGTATGGAATAATGGCGTCAAAAGTCGTCGCGATTAGCCATGGACTTCTCGCTTTAAACCAAAATTCTCTTGCGAGTTAATTATACGATAATCAAGGACGATCGTTAAATGTAAGGTTATATACAAATATATAAGGTGATATATTCTAATGGAATGATAGAAAAAAAACTTTCGTTTTTGGATACGTACGAAGAAGGATCGATTTTTTCTTTTTCTTCTATATTTCTTTTTTTTTTCTTTTTTTTTTTTTTCTTTCCTCTTCAAATTCTTTTAATATATATTATTTTATATTTAAATAAATATTAATATGGGAAGTAATGCAAATTATTTTTTACGAAATGAAAAATCACTTAGACGTATGATTTCATTGTTGTGAAATTTATTAATGTTATACATTTGACGATCACATTTGTAATAATAAAAAAAAAAAAAGAAAAAAAAAATTGTGAAACCTATGTAACAAACTGTTAAAACATCTCATATATTCTGTGTAACAAATACAATGATTCTCTCTAAACTTTTCTTTAGTTTGAAAAGTGAAGGAAAACAGAAATAGAGAAAATTGAATAGCACGAAATTGACTTTTTCTTCTTCTTCTTCTTCTTTTTTTTCCTTTCGTTTCTTTTTTTTTCTTTCTTCTTTTCTTTTTTTTTTTTTTTTTGCCAAAGTCGAGAAAGACAAGCAACGAGTAAAGAAACAAGAACTCGCAATCCCTTTTTCCATTCTTGTGAAAATTCGATAAATCCTTTTCGACTATCGCCTTTTACGGTATGCTACGAGAAAAGATTTATCTTTGTCGAAAGTTTGGATGGATGGATAACGAGCACCCGTTTAGAATTTTATCGTTGAGAATCTGCGAATTTTATCGTCTCGAGTATTTCCCAGATCGAAGTTTATGCGATATAGCACGCGAGAGAGAATAACGAGAGACTTTCGATTAAGTGATTTAAAAAGGTAGAGAGAAAAAGAAAAATAGTGAAAGAAAGAGAGAGAGAAAGAGAGAGAGAAAGAGAGAGAGAGAGAGAGAGAGAGAGAGAGAGAGAGAGAGAGAGAAAGAGATGGATAAGGGAAAAATGTGAAAGAAAAAAAAGAAAGAAAAAAAGACAAGAGGAAAGACTTAGCGCCATATAAATTTGATCCTTATATCATTTCCTCGTAAAAGCCGAGAAACTTTACAACCACGATCGAACGAGAGTTCTTCTCTCGTAAAACACTGTGAAGAAAGAAATAAAGAAAAGAGTAGAGGAGCTTCGTATCCTTTCTCTCTCTCTCTCTCTCTCCCTCTTTCTCTCTCTCCCTCTCTCTCTGTCCCTCTCTCTCTCTCTCTCTCTCTCTCTCTCTCTCTCTCTCTCGATCTTTCTCTTTCTGTTGACGTTGATTTATACGAAGAAGATTCGATAAAATGAGACTGCTGCGATGGCTAACATTCTTTCTTATTTTTCTTTTTTTCTTTATATATATATTTTTTTCTTTATATATAAATATATATATATATATATATATATCGTAATATGGTAAGTTCAATTTAATTTCATTATAAAAATAATAAATATTTTAATGTCCATTAGTAATTATATACAATAAATATAATATCTATCAACAATTTTTTTTTTTAACGCAGATTCTTAACAATTATAAATAATAATCATGACAAATTAATAATTATTATTAATAAGTTAAATAACTTAATTCCATTGAAATTTTCAATGTACTAAATATATTAATTAATATTAATATATACATATATATATATATATATGAAGTCTAATATTTATATTAATATTAATATATAAAGTTTAATGTCTGTTGTTTGCAATTGATATAATATCAATGCAATAAAATCAAAAACGTTTTGTTACACAATGAACGTTAATAATATCAAAGATTTAAATAATTATAAATGATGATTAATAAATTATTATTATTTCTTTTCTTTTTTTTTCTTTTTTTTTTTTTTTTTTTTTTTTTGATATGTCAAACGTACGATATACGAAAGAGAAAATGTATGGGAACCGTATACGTACCTATATATATATATATATATATATATATATATATATATATATATATATATATATATATATATATATATTATTTTAGATAGGCTTCTGTATTAAGCTTTAGGATCGATCAATAGAGTCTAGTTTGAAATTTCGATGATGAAAGCAACAAAGCAACCGAAGGGTTTGGTCCAAATTGCACAATGCAAATGATCGGTCCGAGCTCAGACATCTAAAGGATATTCGTTGGCCGGTAAAAGGAGCCGTTTAAGACAATGGGGAAGATGATCATTTCTAGTCTCGTATGAGATAGACAGAGATAGAGAGAGAGAGAGAGAGAGAGAGAGAGAGAAAGAGGGAGAGAGAGAGAGATAGATAGAGAAAGAGAGGAAGAGAGAGAGAGAGAGTATACGAGTGAACCTTTAGTATGTTTGGAATGTCGAAATGAGTCTGTTCAAACAGCTCAATCATCTCCAATCAATACGATCCTTACAATAAACGAACTTATCGATAGCCTCAATAGACGATACAAATATATGATATACAAACGAACAAAAAGAAAAAAAAAAAAGAAAAAAAAAATATAAAGGAAGAAAAAAAGATCGCTCCTACTGCCGTCATGTATTTCCAGGATTTTCCATTAATTTTTCAAAATAATTGATCCCGCATTGAATCTCAAAATCAATGAGAATCTAAAATTCTTCAATGTGAATTTGTACAAACAAATTTCGTACGGCTTACAAATCATATTAATCGATATTCACTTTTTAATTAAAAACGTTCGCGAAAGAATTTTTCCCGATAAAAAAAAAAGAAAAAAAGAAAAAAAGAAAAAAAAGGAAATATATAATTCCCAGATTAAATGAATACATACAGATGATATAATTTGTTGATAAAAATTATTTATTTATTTAATACAATTACACAGACGAGTAATTTGAATAATTAAAAACAATTTGTTTCTAATAATCTACAATAATAATATTGAAATATATATATATATATATATATATATATATATATATATATATTTAATTCGTACTCAACCTTAAAAAATGTACGAACGATCGTGAAGTAATTTGTCAAAAAAAAAAAAAAAAAAAAAGAAAAAAAAAAACAAAGAGAAAAGAAAAAAAAGAAGAAAAAAGAAAAAACATCTACATAATATTAATTAAAAAAAAGCATCGGACTTATTCCTTATTCATTTTATTCGTTTTATTATACTTCTTCTTTTTCTTCTCCTCTCTCTCTCTCTCTCTCTCTCCCTTTATTTCTCTCTCTCTCTTTTTTTTTAAATGAGAACGTACATACACATAGGAAAAGATCGAAAAGTCGAAAAAGAGTTAACGTCAACGTTAATCTAAACGTTCGTTCCCTGTATCGAACTCGATCAAGAAGATGCGCCCGCGCGCGACCTCACCCTCAACCCCTTTGATTAGCCTTTAAGGTAGCTCGAAGCAATTGTTCCGCCTTACGGGATGCTTCCATCTTCCGTTCTAGCGTGCTCGAAAGCCCATCTCGATCCTTTTGTGCAAAGGACGATGTCGTCTTTTCGATTATGGCCTCTCCTGATTCCCCCTCCCTCCCTTCCTCCTTCGTTCCCTATCTTCAGACTTTCCCTATCCCTATTCTCCTTCACCCACCTTATTCTACTGTCATCCTTTTCCCCACCCCTCCTCTCGACCCCCTCCTCTCTCTTTCTCTCTCTCTATCTATCTAACTATCTATCTATCTATCTCTTTCCTAACCACGACTATTGCTCTACCAACTGTTAGAGACGATTTCACATCGATTCGCTTCAATTATCGCCACGTCTATAAATTTCAAGTAACGCAACTGGAAATTCACCAGTTTAAATTTAAATGAGCTTTTTCTTTCCACTTTTTTTTCTTTAGTTTCTTTTTCTTTTTCTTTTTTCTTTTTTTTCCTTCATTTCTTTTCTTTCCTTTTCTTTAGCGAGAAAAGGGACGCGCAATTGACGTTTACGTGAATTTTTTCTCGTTCATTGATTTTATCGTATTTTCGTATCGAAGAATGATTGAAAATTTATGAAAGGTGTTCTGATCTTTTTTTTTTTTCCTTTCTTTTTCTTTTTCTCGGTAATTTGAAACTATTACGTTTTAACATATCTTTCTTCGCGCCTATTAATTTTATAATATTATTTAATATTACAGTAGAGAAAAGGAAAAGAAAAAATATTCTTGCCTACTACGGTACTAATTCGAAATCGTTATACTTTTTATATTATATTTAAAATATTTAAAAAAAAAAAAAATCATTAAAAAAAAAGGAAATTAAATTCTTCTATCTACTATTAGTGATTTAAAATCAATGTACATATGTATATATTTATATGTATGTGTGTGTATATGTGTGTATGTGTGCGTGTGTATGTGCGTGTGTGTGTGTGTATGAATTATATTCAAAACAAAACAATTTTTGCCTTGCTTATAGCAATTCAAAATAATTATATTTAAATGTTACTTAAGAAACGATATAATTTTTGTCTACTCTTAAAGATTTCAAATTATTTTTCATTTGACATGATTGACAGTAAATATATATCAGAATATTATTTGAACGAAATAAAGAAAATAATATTGACGTTTAAATGAGTTCGAAAGAAAACTCATAGAAAAATATTACAAAGATAGTAACTAATAAAACTTAAAGTTATCTTTTTTATTCGTGACATGCATATCTTGAAATACATTATCTAAGAATGTTCGACTTATTATTAATTCTATTTTTCTTTCTTTCTTTTTTTTTTTTTTTTTTTTTTTTTTTTTTTCTTTATGCAGCGCTATCAGAGCCGCCGATGTTTGCCGAACCAATACCAAACGTCACCGTAGCACTTGGAAGGGATGTCAGTCTACCTTGCGTTGTCGAAAACCTCGGTACATACAAGGTAATTAATATAAATTACGTAATATCGAACATTTTACAAAATTTACATACATTTTGAAAAATTTATTCCATTCGTCTAAAAAAAAAAAAAAAAAACTGGAACGTATTGCAATATTTTCGATGTAACAACGAGTAAAAATCTTTCTTATTAATGCACGGAGATAATGCACACATTTTGAATATTTTTAATAAAATATAAAATTGTTATCAATCTGAAACATTGAAACGAATTAATTAGTGGAAAACTATTGACTTAAAATTTAACAAAAAAAAAAAAGAAAAGAAAAAAAATATATATATATATATAGCATCGTTGAAAAGAGAATTAAAAAACCTTTTAAATGACATACCACTTGATATCCATTGCCCTTTAAGATTTTCGAGAGGGTTGTCATCCCTCTTCAAGGGTTAGTCCAAAATCGATGAATATATGATAAGAAACTGTTCTCGTTGAAAACAAATTTAATTTGTCTCGGTGTTTTTTCGAAACAAAAAAGAACACAAAATTAAATAATAATAATTATAATGGATAGCTTTCGTTGAAAGATACTCTGTGTGTGTGTATATATATATATATATATATATATATATATATCGATATAAATTTGTTAAAAAAAG